CATAATTGAGTGGGGGGGGGCGCTGGGCATGGGCCAGCAGCGGCCACAGTGGGGGGTGGGCTGGGGTCTAGTGGGCATGGAAGGGGCGGGGTGGGAGGCTAGTCTCCCCAAGCTGTGGGTTCACCCACTGCCCATGTACATATGTGGTCAGTCATACCTGGCTATATCTCTGGCCTTTGCAAGTGTGGCTGGCATCAGTCTACATCCCCAACAGGCATGACCTAGAGTGGGTAGTCAGGGTGCCGGATCACATCTGGTTATCCCTGAATTGGTGTTTGGACCCTGGGTCAGTGTTGAAGGGAGTTCCCTTCACAGCCCTGGCCCAGTTGCTGACCCTGGTCTCCGATGCTTCAGACCTGGGCAAGCTCAGCACACAAGGTTACTGGTTGCGGGATGATCTGGCCCTCCATATCAATGTCAGGGACCTCAGAGCAGTTAGCCTGGTCTGTCAGGCTTTCTTGCCCCACCTGAAGGGCAAGGTAGTGCAGGTCCTGATGGACAATACTGCTGCAATGTATTACATCAACAGGCAGGGTGGAGCCAGGTTGTCAGCCCTTTGCCATGAAGGTCTCTGCTTTTCAGACTTTTTTGTGCGGCATGCCATTCATCTGGTAGCCGTGCATCTGCCCAGGACCCAGAACGTATTAGCAGATTGCCTCAGCAGGACTTTCTCATCTCACCCAGAGACAGTCAGTACGATCTTCCAGAGGTGGGGTATTCCCCAGGTGGACTTGTTCACATCCTGTCAGAACAGGAAATGCCATGTGTTCTGTTCTGCTCCCGTGGTTGGGGGCTCTTGTGTACGCCTTCCCGCAAGTGCTGTTAATTCACAGAGCCCTCGTGAAGATCAAACAGGAGAGGGCAAAAGTTATCCTGATAGCCCCTGCGTGGCCTGGCCAGCACTGGTTTGGCAGGCTGCTGGATTTTTTGGTAGTCACTCTGCTGCAGCTACCTTTCTGGGTAGACCTGCTGACCCAGAACCACAGCAGTCTTCTGCACCCAAACCTGGTGGCATTGCACTTGACAGCATGGCTGAACGCGGAAGAACAGAAATGTTTGGCCCGGGATCAACAGGTCTTGTTGGGTAGCAGAAAGCCCTCCACCAGAGCGACTTACCTGGCCAAGTGAAAAAGGTTCACGTGCTGGGTCTTGGAACAATGTATCTGGGATGAACAGGCCTTGCTTCAGGAGATCCTGAATTATCTTCTGCACCTCAAACTCCAAAGATTGTCCCTGTCATCGATCAGGGTCCACTTGGCCTCCATTTTAGCTTTCCACCCTCCATTCCAAGGCAGGTCGGTCTTCATTCACGACATGACAGCCTGTTTTTTGAAAGGTCTGGAGCATCTCTACCCACATGTCCGGGATCCTGTCCTTCCCTGGGACCTGAATCTCATGCTGTCAGGGCTCATGGGGCCTCCCTTTGAGCTGGTGGCTTCCTGCTCTCTCCTGCTTCTCTCCTAGAAGGTTTCGTTCCTGGTTGCAATAACTTCTTCCCGCAAGGTGTCTGAGATCATGGCACTTACTTCAGAACCGCCTTATATGGTATTCTACAAGGATATGGTCCAACTGCGGCCGCAACCCGGCGTTCCTGCCCAAGGTATTTTCCCAGTTTCATACTGGCCAGGACATATACTTACCTGTCTTCTTCCCAAAGCCTCATACATCTGATGAGGAATGTAAGTTGTATGCCCTGGATGTCAGAAGAGTGCTGGCCTTCTATGTAGACAGGACAAAGCCATTCTGTAAGTCAACACAGTTGTTCCTTGTGGTGGCAGACAGAATGAAAGGTCCCCCAGTGTCTGCTCAAAGGATTTCATCCTGGATCACTGCTTGCATCTGCTACTGCTATGAACTGGCAAAAGTGCCTCCACTGGCAATCCTGACAGCACACTCAACTAGGGGGCAAGCGTCATCAGTGGCCTTCCTGGCGCAGGTGCCAATCCAAGAGATCTTTGGGGCCGCTACCTGGTCATCTGTCCACACATTCGCGTTGCATTATGCACTTACCCAGCAAGCTTGAGACAACACTGGCTTTGGCAGAGCAGTGCTGCAAGCTGGATGACCGTGAACTGCAAGCCCACCTCCATGGACTCTGCTTGTGAGTCATCTAGAATGGAATTGACATGAGCAAGCACTCAAAGAATTAAAAACAGTTACCTACCTTTTCATAACCGTTGTTCTTCTAGATGTGTTGCTTATGTCCATTCCATTACCCACTCTCTTGCCCTACTGTCAGAGTTGCTGGCATGAAGGAACTGAGAGGGTGTAGGGCTAGTGGTGCTTGATATACCGACGCATGGGTGTGGCACTCAAGGGGGCGCCACAGCTGACCCTACAGAGATTGCTAAGGCAAAAATCTCTGATGACCACGCGCATGGGTGCACACACACCTAGAATGGATTGGACATAAACAACACATCTCTAAGAGCAACAGTTACGAAAAGATAGATAACCATTTTTTATTTTACATTTAGTTATAGCAATACCTACTTACGTCATATTAAATAAGGTTGTGTCATCATTAGATAGAATAATAGAAACTAGTGAATGAAATCGGTTAGGTCCAAATTAGTCCACCTCAAAAGGGCTTTTGCTTATTTTTCCCCCATCATATATTTTCCATGCCAGTCCCTGTTAAATGTCTCCTGGATTGGGGCTTCCACTACTTCCCTTATGGGACTGTGTCTCAGTCTTATCTCTCTCATTTTCAGGAAACCACACTTCCAGGCATTCTCAGTACTGTTAATGGCGATGTTACTTCTATTTTGGTGGTGGCACAGGCCTGACTCCTTAGAGTGTTCATAGTCCATTATTATTTTGGCATGCTACCAAAACTTTCCTGTGGAACCCAGCCACAGCAGGGAAATGGTGATTTTAACAGTTTATAACTCAGCTACATGTGAATGGAATTTAATCAGACAAGGGGAAGGCCCTTCTCTAGGCGGAGGGCTCCATGCCAGATTTCAAAGGGCTGCTGCAAACAATGAAGGTGTTTAAGAGCTTCTCAAATAAAGGTCAACAGAATATTTAAAATGGGTAGTGTTAGGTATCCCAAATACAGGGATCACTACCAGCTCTCAATATAAACCTGCTACCATTCATAAGCCAACAACTAACTGCCTGAGGTTAGGAGAAACTTCCCACATGGGCAGGTTACTTGATAATTCTCTGTTTTAATTAACCCAAATTTGACTCACAGCTACTATTTACTGTAGAGACCTCTCTTCTGTTTTCAGTGCAAACCAGCCCCTGACACAGTTGGATGAGGATGAACAGGCCTGCCAGAGTAATTTAATAAAAAAAGAGCTGGTGGAAGGATTGAAGCATCCAAACTGCAAAGTGCAGAAACTTGGGTGAGTAGTATGATAGTTTTACCTTTACTTGTGAATTTGTCTTGTCATAAAAACCAGACTATTGGGTCGCTGTGCGTACAGAAACACATGGAGGCAGCTGCCAGATCAAAGAGTTGGTGCCCAGTTGCCCCCCATCCCAACCTCCGTATATACTCAGGTACTGTGCCACGAGTTTATTCAATAGCTTCCAATGCCTTAAGTTCTCTGAAACACTGACACACATTATTAACAAGGGAGGGGAAAACCCAAACAGCTGGATTCTCTGTTAGAAGACGACAAATTTGCAATTAAGAATGAAATTGTATTATTCTCATACATAGGTAGTCCAATACCACCAGTTCTGAAAGGACTACAAAGAATTAGCAAGTGGTCCAGAACCCAGAGAGGGAAGGAGAGAACAGTTGGAAAGATAGAAATTAAGGACAGATGAAAAATTGCAAAATCTGAAGACCAACAATAGCCTCTGAGGAAGCTGATATGCACCTTGAAGTTGTTTTGTGAAGGAGTGGAGAGATGACCAAGTTATTGCAGTTTACAAATTTTCTCATAAATTACTGTGTTTCTCTCTGTCCATTGGATGAAACAGACTGCCCAGACCTGCTGGGAGATGGTTGCTTTGAGGCATTTCTTTGTATCAGTCTAGGACAAACATGGTCAAACCATGGCTCGTGAGCCGTTGGGGCTTTTGCCCCATGGAAGGCGCTGGAGCAGAAGCCCCTAGCCCCACCACCCTGCCACAGGGCAGAACCCCCAAGCTTCCCCCCCGCCCCTTAGTCTGGTAGGCGGAGAATGGGGGGCAGGGACTCTGGGAAATACTTCAAGAGAATTTAAGCCCTGAGCTATTGTGAGAGTGAGACCAATAGAAAGAGAAGCTGTCACATGCGCTTTAGATCAGGAACTTGTGTCATTCTGTATTCAGACATTGTGCTGTGTGGACCTCATATGCTTGCGATCTCCCTGCATTCTGCAGAATATAGGCTGTGTTTACTGTTCATAAATTGCATTTGAATAGTTTTAGATTTAAGTGTTAACCCTACTTTAATTTTGCGGATTACAATGACATCTTCAAATTGTAAGAAACATAAGTATGAAGAAGAAAACGGAGGTTTTAAGCCAGATTGGGAGAAACATTTTGCATTCAGCGTTACAGGTGGCAAATCCCTGGGTCTTATCTGCAATGCATAGCTTACTCACTACAAAGGGAGCAACTTGACACATCACTGTGACCCGGTGTGCCTAGGGCAGCTCTCACTGGAAATGCCAAGGTCAGGGAGGCTGCAAAAGGGAGAGCAGATATACTCCCAAGACTAGTGGGTAACACTGAAGTTAGACTCCCCAACCAGTCACAAACTGTGCTTCTGATCTCCCACACTGGTTATCAAGAAGCAAAAGAGAAATCACACAGTCCCCTTTATTGCATTCCAGTACTCTGGCTCCCAATCAGCATATAGGTCCAGTACAGTGAGAAGTTCTTTAAAAAAACTCTGCTCACATATACAAAATGTTCTTCTGACCCCAAAGGGTCAGCCACGTCGCCAGGTTTGGATCTTACCCAAAATACCACGCTGCCAGCCAATCCTTTAGTGTCTAAAACTAAAGGTTTATTGTAAAGAAAAAAGAACAAGAAGAGAGATGTTAAATGGTAAAACAGTCACATATATACAAAGACTTCAATGTGCATCAGGTTCCTAGCAGTATTGGTGAGTTTGCTGTCTTGAAAGTCCCTGAACACATCCACAGCTTGGATGGGTTATTCAGCCCTTTGTTCAAAGCTTCGTTTGTAGAAAGGTTACTCCAGAGGTCATCATTGTCCAAGCTGTGAGAGGGGGTGGAGTGATGGGGAAACTCAGGAGTGCTGTGAAGTGAAAAGGAACGTGTGGGCGTAGAGGGCAGTGGGGTTGGCAAAGAATTGTGCATGTGCACATGCTGCAGTGGAGGTCGACCACGGATCTGCTCAGTCTGCAGCTGTATTAAAGACTTGAGCATCTCTATCTGATCCTCCATTACTTTTATCATCCGCTCAGTCACTTCCATAGCGAACGCTTGATTCTCCTTTCTGTCCTGCCTTTCGGCTTCCCAGCACTATTTCTGTTCCCTAGTCTGTGTGTCAGCGCGCTGCAGCATCTCTCTGAGCATATCTTCTTTGCTGCGTCTTCTTCCTTATCTGCCGAAGCCAGACAGCAGGGGTGCATGGTGTGTTCCTTAAGGTCTCAGCTGCTGTGGACAATGCACAGATGAGGGATTGTTACCTTCCAGCAAACGATTGAAACATTTCAGTAACAAGGGCCTTTTGCAACTAGTAGCAATCGCTTTCTCACTGACTCTAAGCAGGCACACAGCTATGCAAGCACACAAATCATGGTGTGTGGCAGATCGGGGGGAGGGCGCTTGTGCATATGGACAAAACAGCCACGGCTTGCAGTGCAGCTTTGCAGGGAACTCATTCTAAAATTATCCAACACTTTTCCACAGGCAGGCCCCCTAGCTGACATCTCACTGCTGCGGGCAAGCAGGGAAACCAGGGCACAACTACTGCATGCTTGTGGCTTTCACCCCGGTCTATATGCAGCTTAGCTATGTGCCGCTTTGGTCCCAGCTGCAGTGACTGCTAAATGGCATGGGACAGTTTCCTAAAATGGGGGAACTAACAAGGCTGCACTCCCTTGGAATTTGTGGCAGAGGATTAACAAGTACTTTCCAGAGCCTCTCTCTGGAGGATTCCATGCAGATCTCGATGTCCATTGACACCCTGCTTGGCCACGCAGATTAGCTACACAGGGCAATGTCAAGCTCACATAAAAACACAACCTGCCTCCCACTTTTCGATTCCCTACACAAGCCACAGCAACTTACCCTGCGTCTCATCTGCTTCCTGCTCCCCAGAGAGCACTTCTGAAGTGGAGAAAAGTTCCTGGCTGCCTGCCCCACCAGGTGACGTCGCTGGGAGCTCCGCATCCTCTTCTACCTCCACTTCTTCATCAAGAATTTCAACCTCTGGGTTAGCTCCTCTTTCTGCTGCCTCCGAAGTATCTTTGGGGCTCTCGGCGATGGAGGTGGGGTCACCACCGAGGGTAGCATTCAGCTCCTTATAGAAGCGGCAGGTCTTAGGTGCACCACCAGAGCGATGGTTTGCCTCCCTCGCCTTTATGGTACGCCTACCTCAGCTCCTTTATCTTTGCTCTGCACTGCTGCATGTCCTGATCATAGCCCTTTTCACACAATCCTCAAGAAATCTGCCCATATGTGTCCCAATTCCTACGGGTCACTTGCAGCTATGACTCAACAGACTCCTCTCCCCATATACTGATCAGATCCAACAGTTCCATGGTAGTCCAAGCAGGAGCGCATTTGGTGCGATAGCCATGCCAGGACACCTCTCCATGCTGAGCCAGCAAGCAGGACATGGGATTTAAAATTCCCAGGGCTTGCAAGGGGGAGGGGACAGATTGGTTGCAGGACTGCGGAGTTCAAACTGCTGACCAGAGTGGCAGCATGGGAATTGTGGGACACTTTCTGGAGGCCAATAAAAGCAAAAAAAAAACCAGGTGTGGTGTCTACACTGGCTGTTTGTTGACAATAAAGGGAGGGGGAAAGACAAAAGTCTCTCGAAGGGATGGAAGTTTTTTGTTGCCAAAACTGGGCTTTTTTTTTTACAAAAGTCCCGTTGCAGTGTGTATGCTCTTGCTGTTTTGTCACCAAAAGGCATTTTTTGGCAACAAAACTTGGCAGTGTAGACAAGGCATCAATTGGTCAGTTGCATAGGCGATGTCCCTTGATGGGTCATCAAGCTGACTAGGCAGTGCTAATGCTAATCTGTCTGGGGTGTCACCCAGATGCACAGCACAAGTTTGTAACTACAGACATACCATACATATAACTTACAGTACAAAGGTGATACAAACACAAACAAGCTTATAATATTTGGCAAATTATAACATTTTCGCAGATCCCTTACATGGCATATCTGGCACAACTCTTTACAATTTTATAATATTGATATTCATAATATCCTCAAGTGTTGCCCAGGTTCCATACAGCGTCAGTCACTACGAAATGAATCACAATAACTTTAGTCTAAATACCCTCCTGAATCAGAATTAAGGAAAAACAATATATCCGCATTAAAATTATGTCTAAATAGTCAACAGACACTACTTTCAGTGTTGAGTAAGGAAGCTGACCAAACAACCAAAGCTAGTGTTTTTTTATGTCATGGAATATCGCTTGTGCTAAACGTCCATATTCTGATGGAGAATTTGTTAAGAAGAATGTTGCAGAAGTGGTTGCAATTTTAGATCCAAGTAACAAAAACTTCAATGATTGATAAAGCAAATTCCAATTTCGCACCACACTATGGAGAAGTGTATATCCCAGATCAGTGCTGATTTTGCAAGAAAGATGCAAAACGATCTAAAGAATTCTCTAGCATTCAGCCTAGCTGTTGACAAATCCACAGATATACAAGATAAACCCCAACTAGCAATATTTGTTTGCTGTTTCCACAGATCTAATTGTGAAAGAAGAAATGTTGGACTTAATGGTGCTAGAAGAAACAACCCATGGTATTGATGTAAAGAACACACTTGACAAAGCATTGACAAATGCTGATGTACTGCTGGATAAACTTGTCAGTATTGCAATGGATGGAGCACCTGCAAAGGTGTGGGGGGGAATTAGGCCTTATCAGACTCTTAAAAAGCGATCCCAAATTTCTGGAGTTTCTCCCTGTTCATTCATCATCCATCATGATCATCTCACAGGCAGACACTTCAAGTATGAAAATGTTACAAAAATGGTCCTAGAAATTGTTAATTTTATCCGCTTGAATAGGAAGACTCATTGACAGTTCAAAAATTTCATCGAAGAGCTGGATCTTGAAGACAAACCTAACAATGTCTCTTTCTACTGTATTGTGAGGTGGTTATCAACCAGCAATGTCTTAAATAGGTTTGTGGAATGGATAGAGCCTATCAATGCTTTCCTTCAGGAAAAGAAAAAGT